GGCAGTAAGCAGTCAAGCTCAAGCATCCGGGCGGGAGGAGGAGAATGGGGTTCGTGCTGGTGATCTCGCTGCCCTTCATATTCTTCACCGTCCTGCTCGGCTTCGGCTGCTACTTCCTCGGCAAGCACAAGGGCCGCGAGGAGATGCGCGCCGGCGTCGGCGCACAGATCTACGGCACGCCGCTGCCGCCGCCCGGTGTCGCCGGACAGTCCCCGGGGCCGTACCCGGCCCCGGTCCCGGTGAAGAAGGAGGGCCCCGACGCCGTCTGATCGATGGAGCGTTGGTGTTGTTGTTTATTGGGTTTGGTTGATTATTACCGGGTGGTGTGGTGTGTCCCCGTGTACATGGAGTAGTAATTTGTTGCTCGTTTCTTGTGAGGTGTTCACTGTGAAGGAGGACGGGATGGTGATCTGGTGTGTGATGATTTGTGATCACAGTTGCGTTTCTATGAGATGTGCAAATCGATGTAATGAATACTGTATTAGTTTGTGATAATCAACCGTTGCTTGGTATGTATGCAAAATTTGCTTTCTCGGGCTTGAGCTGATTGGAATTGGGTTTCTGATGTGATGGAAGAGTTTCAGGTGTCAAAAGTCAAGCAAAAGGAGGAGTATAGATTCAGGAAAACTAGATAGAGTTGGGCCCCCAAAAACTCCTTGAAGAATGGTTTTCGATGCAAGGCGAACTGGACACCAAATATGGCACTTGCAGCAACTCACTGATTTTGCACATTTCTTCCTCAAATGTTCCAAAAATGATAGCACCAGGCGATGGAAAGCGGACAGTATCTTTTTGGTTTCCAGAAACCGGGCTGAGTTCTTCAGATATTTTTGCTGCTAACAGTAATAATATCTCTCATGGTGATTGCTACAGTATATCTTTAGGGAGTACCTAGAACTCATCTAAATGAGATATAGTTTGGTCTCATTCACTTTGAAAACAAGAATAGATACAGCCCATGTTAGGACACACGCATCTTATAGCATCACATCCAATGGTTATAAAAGGTGAATGAGACCAAATTATATCTCATCTAGATGAGTTCTAGCAAAACTGATATCTTTATGGTAATTGTATGGAGATTGCACATATTTTGATTTTTCCCTCTGGTACATGCACAAGCAAAAACCAACACAACTCTCATGGTAATAATACCATGATAATTTTGTAAACACAGTTCATCTTTTTAATTATAATAAGTGTAAATCCATGATGTTGTTTGGTTTCCGATTGCAATCAGCTAACCACTTCTGAAGACTTGTCTTGGTTTGCAATTTCCTTTTATCAGGCTTGCATCTGAAGCTGCATGGAATCGGGTTTGTCAAGAGTTTTCAGGTGTAAAGGGCAATCAAAAGGAGGAGAATAGATTCAGGAACTAGAGTTGAGCTGGCACTATCCCTTCTAAAATACACCTGGTTTCCTTAAGACTGCTTTAACTTCCTTCACCGTACCTTCCATGATGTTCCAAAATGCATCCAACTCTGACACTTGGTAATTTACTCTGAACGTTTCCCACAACGTTCCAAATTGTATCCCAGTAACAGATGGCTTGATTTGATATCATGGCAAATTGGGGTGCCAATGTTATCTCGCTAACTTAATTTCTGATATGTGGAAGACAAACATCACAGAACAATCGCAATCCTCCACGAGAACAATGCAATAAGATGATCAATTTGAGGTAGTAACATATATCATGCACAATCACAATCCAGCACAACAGCCCAATGATGTAAGAGGATCAAACATCACTGAACAATCACAATCCTGCACAAGGATGTAAGAGGATCAAATTTAGGGGATTGACATATATCTTCATGGTCATTAACACTGAGGTTTGAGAGGGTAATTTTGTTCTCAGCTGGTAGGACCACAGAACAAAATCGAACGCATGACAACCTTTTCCTTATTACAGACATCAAAATTCGCAGAACAAACAGTTCTGCAGGAACGAACAGAACAGTAGGCTTCATGAATCGATCCAGCGATCGAAGTCCTGACGAACACGGAACGGACCATGATTCGTGAGACCCGGCCTAGTTGCAGAGCAGGAACCTGGTGAGCATGAGGACACCGCAGGCGGCGGCGAAGAGGGCGAAGACGGGGAGGTCCCTGGCGGGCCAGCGCCTGGGTCCGTCGGCGCCGCCCGCGCCGGCCTTGGCCTCGACGCGGAGGGCCTTGGCCCTGCGCAGCGCGTCCACCTCCTTGAGCAGGTCGAACTCGAGCCCCTTGCGCTTGAGCTCGGCGACGCAGCGGCCGAGCAGCGCGGCGTCCTCCTGCTCCCGCGCCAGCACCCGCTCCAGCACGGCCTCCGTGTCCGCCTTGTACCGCAGCGCCCACAGCATGGCCAGGGAGGCGAGCAGCGAGACGAGGCAGGGGATCCAGGAGCGGCGGCAGGAGGAGGACGACGGGCCGGGGGACGGGATGGCGGCGGAGAGGAAGAGGACGAGGACGGATGCGGCGTGGAAGGCGAAGAAGGCGCAGTAGAGGAAGGCGATCTCCTTGCGCGCGCCGTCGAGGCGGGCCTCCCGCAGCGCGACGCGGCGCGCCAGCAGGTCCTCCTCCTTGAGCCACTGCTTGAGCAGCAGCCGGTGCGTCCCGCTCGCCGCGATCTGGCTCAGCGGGTGCCGCTGCTGCGCCTGCGGCGGCGGCACGGCGACCAGCGCGGCGGCGTCGGCCATGGGCTGCGCTGGCGTGCGGATTGGACGGGATGGGTCCTTCTTCTCCGGCGAGGGTGGGGTGGGGCGTGTGGCGGTGGATTCGCGGCCTGGGTGGGGATGGCGAGGTTCGCGTGGGAGGTTTTGAAGGGGAATTTTTGGCAACGGTCGGGGAGATGAGTGCGCGTGGCTTTGCCGAAAGCGAGAGAGAGAGAGAGCGCGCACCCGAGGCGACCCCAACGGTCGGAATCAGTGTGCACGCTGCCCGGGCCACATGGGCTAAAGATTTGTTCACGGGCTCTGTTTGTTCCCGGCCCGCCACTCGGAAGTTGCAAGCCCAACCCTCCGGCTTTTTCATCCCCACTCTATATACACACACACACACACCCGTCACGTCGCTCAGCCTACCAACAAACTACTTCTTTCTTCTCAAAAACAAACTACTTCTTGCTTGATACTGAAACTGCCAAGCTCTGTTTAGACCATAGGCAGTTAATCACATAACTCCGTGTAGGCATGAGACGTTGCGTGCGTGTATGGTACCGTGCACGCATGCTTGTTCAAAGTTCGGAATGAGTGGCATCGGAAAAACACCTTTCACTCCTTGGGCAAAAGACTCTGAGAGATCGTGCCCAACGGTGGTCGTGCCGCGTAGCTTCCTTTGAACCATGGTATCTAAAACTTACACCGGCAAGGGCATACCCGCGAGACCGCGAAAAGCAAGTCGGGGTGTCTGATGGTCAGTTGAAGTCCCAACGAGGTTGGATGTGGTCAACTTATCACACCTGTGCACTCATGTCCTAATGCAGTTTGGAGTATGGCAAATGCATTTCATTTGTTGCATCACATTACGGGGTCGGCGCACTTTGTTTCCGTGAGTTTACACACATGTGTTCGGTGGGCTATGCCCAAAAGGGATGAACTGGAATGGAAAATTACGGAATTGTAAATTGAAACTTGCATGATCAAACTGAAAAGCAATGATGACTTGTAGTAGAAAAACATAAGGAACCATGAATCTGTATCTACACAATACAAAATCTTATTTATATTCCTATGCATGTAGCCCGACCACATAGATTCGTTATCTATATATCCGTGGTCCAGTCCCATTCATCCATTCAACCCTACCATAACCCTAACTACTCTACTGAGTTCCACTCTTGCATGAATCACCCAATGGATAGTGCTTTATATAACCTTCATCACGTCATGTATGATAATATTTGTGGTCATGTTGACAAAATTGAACCACTTAGGCATCATTTGGCACCACAGGGTTTTTGGAGTTTTAGGAAAATACCATGGTATTTTTAGAAACCACTGTTTAAAAGACTTTGATGCGTTTGGCGTCAACAAATACTTCAGTTCACCAAACCATAATATCTTCAAAACCATAGTTTTTTCACAGTGTTAGAAGAAGTGGCCCTGACCTCTTTTTTTTCCCTAAACCGAGAAATACTCGTGTCATTGGTCTCTCAAGTACATCCTTCCGGCCTTCTATGATTCCTCCATCTTCTCTGTAGCTATGAAAAATTCAAGCTCACCACATGGGAAGACATGCTGATCTTGTACACCAACTCTGAACTTGATCTCATCAATTTGTTGTTGTATACCATAGTATCAGTTCCCCTTAGGGCAGATTCAGTCGTGGAGTAGACCGATTGATAACAAGATTTATATTTCATTCCCCTCCTTCCTTAGTTCTGCTCAGTTTTCGCCCGCCCATCTAAGTGTGCTTACTTGCCCTCATACGCGCCTCACAAAAGATCAAACGGTGCCGGGCTGTCTGGTCAAAGCTGTTGACCGTTAGTTCGCCGGTGTTGACGCGTGGGACCGACCTGAGATAGGTTAGTGGGACCTATTGGTGCTGACATGCGGGGCTGACTTGAGATGCTGACACGTGGGACCTATTGGTATTGGCACATGGGGCCAACCTGTGATGCTTACATGTGGGACTGGTTGGTGGACGGCCGATGCTAACGCGTTTGTCTAAAAAAAGAGGGATGCCACTCTAGCCAACCAACCTATCCCGTTCGTATGTCATGTATAGATAGCAAAATTAGGTGTACTTAGAGTGGAGCCTAAATGCCATTTATTTTTTCGCATCAATGAGCAGTGGGTGTACATCTGCAGCCCATTTAAGTTATTTTACTGGTCCTTTTTTTTATTACCTGAAACATGTAGAGGCGCGCACTGCTACAGTTGATTCCAATAAGCAGGACGAGAGGTCATGTTCAGGTAGGTTGACAGTCTGACACATTAAGATCAACATATAATGCCATCAACAGTATTTAGAAGGTTTTATTTTAAGAAACACACGATACTTACAAGTGGAGCAGTAAAACAATGTGAGTGATGCTAATTGCACATGAGGACGGTTTTTTTTTTTGCGGGAAGAGGACGGTTTGACATAGCGGTAAAACAGAGTGACATTTGAACAATCAAGTTTACTGTACATATACACTTTTTATTTTTTTATTTTTTTTAGCTTTTCTCCTATGGTACAGTGTGGCCGGCTTTCCCGCAAATAAAAAAATATATTATGGTGTTTTGTGTAAAAATAAGTCAGCCAAGCATCACCACTCACTAACACATGGGGCTATACACTCTGATGCATCCGCACGCGTATTTTGTGACCGCATCGTATTTCTAAAATTGTAGCACTAAACTGAACATCGAACACAAGTTCTATGACCTACGGTGATATTACCTCTATAAATTTATATACATCTATTGTACTTGCCAGCTATAAGGCTGGCTATAGATAACAACTAGCTATACTATTAACCATGCTTTTAGGTTACTCGACTGGAGCCAGCTCTGAGAGATACAATCAGGAGGTTTGGCTGATGTATAAAACATCAGTAAATAGCAATCTACCAGTGGATCGTTGATGGATGGATATGCGTGCACACTTATGGGCAATTATGATCCAGTAGAAAAATAGAAGGTACGTATTCATCAATTGATCAACAATATGCATATGCACTTGGAAAATTCGTCTTCGCCGAGTGCCAAAGTGTGTGCCCAGTGTTAGAGATATATTTGGGTTATATGTTTGATAGTCTAGAATTTGTAATCCGTCTCTTATCTTATTTTTAGGAGAAGCGTTTTGTCCTTCAAATCTTGTACTCAATATATAATTGCCCTCGAGGCTCAATAATACATCCATCATATTCCGTAACAATCCCTCTTTATCCCTTATAACGTGGTATCAGTCTTATCTCAATCCTAAATCTTAGCCGTTGCCGCTTCCGCACCCGCGCGCCGTCTCGGGGGCGGTCGGCCTCCATGACGGCCGTCGGGGGCCGCGCCGCCCGTACCTAGGGTTCGTCCGCCTGTCCTATTGACCGACTGCCTTAGAGAGTCTTTTTTCTGAGTCTTTGCTCCGAGTTGTTTCTCTCTCCCGTTGGTCACTTTGATCGGCGTTTTTTTTTGGTTTTCCGATCTAGGCTTGATTGGTTTGCGTCGCCCGCTGCCCTCGTCGACCCACCGCGCCTCTACTTCGACACCAGCACGACCGACTGGCCTCTCTTCCGACCCGACAGCCACGCGCTCCAAGGTGGCCCATCATGCCTGCCGCCGTCCGCGCATCGGCCTGCCCACCGCCCTGTGCTGGCCGTCACCGCCCTGCTCTGACCGGGATTCTTCATCATCCATCGTGTCCACCGCGTCTATGAGGCCCCGTCGCTGGCTACCTCGGGCGCGCTGGTTGTGGCCCCTTTGTTGGCTACCTTGGGACGCCTGCCTCGGCCTTGCCGATTACCTTGGGCCGGCCGCGCCATCATCGTCGGCTTCATCTTGGACTCCGCCGCCACCACGCCTCTGCAAAGCGGCGTCCCCGACCTCGCGCGTGATCGGATTGATCATCCACCGTCGCCGCGATGCGCCTCATCTACGCCGTGCGACTGAACTGGCCCATCGGTTGCACGCTCCTCCGAAAATCCCGTGAAGATTGTCCAGTGTACAGAGCGCCTCTCCCCCGATCGAGCATCGGGTTGCTGCTGCGTCGCCCCGTCGGGCCGCAGCGTCGCCGCAACGTGGTTCTCTCCGCAGCTGCACCGATCCGCGTCATCGCTGCGTCGCCCCTTCGGGCCGTAGTGCGGCGGCCCGCGGTCCACCGCCGCCTCGCGACCATTCATTTCAGGTCGTTCCCGTGGTTGCGCCGACCCTTGCGCCGCCGATGCATCGTCCCGTTGGGCCGTAGCGAGCGTGGCACATGATCCATGCCATCCGAGGCCTTCCCCGTGGTTACACCGACCCGCCCTCCGCTGTTGTGCCGCCCATTCAGGTAATAGCGCCGCGGCCGCGGTCCCCGCCACCACCCCGAGGTCTTCCCGCCCTCGCCCCTACCTGCCCGCCGCCGCTGTGTCGCCCCTCCGAGCCGTAGCGCTGCGGCCCGTGGTCCACTCCACCGTCACCGCGCATCGACTTCCCGTGGTATGCGCCACGCCGTCTCCCTCGGTGCGGCAATGCTACCGCTCGTGCCGATCTTCGTCATGTTGTCGGGTTCTTCGCCTACTTCGAGCACCGCGGCCGCGGCCGATAGGCCGCCGTAGCCGCTCTTCTTTGGCCGCTGCCGCCGCTATCCCTGTAGCCGTCGTCGCCGCCCGTCCACCCTCTTCGTCTTCATCAAGCACCAACCTGTGACCAGCGTCGCCGTATTCTTCCCCGACCACTTCATCTACTCCGACCACCATCGGCGACATCTGCCCTGCGTTGATTGGCACCACAATCATTGTCGAGTCTTCTTCTCTGCTGGCCCTCCGACTCCTCGACATGGCGTACAGCTCATGCAGATACCTCATCTACGCATTCCCGATGCTGGCAACACCGATGCGTGCCTTCGTCCACGACTTGTCTCCGGGCCTGGCGAGCCTGGTGTGGAGCTTCGTCAACTACGTCTTCGTCCATCTACGCATGCCCGGTGCTGGCAACGTCAACACGTGCCTTCATCTATGATGTGTCCCCGGGCTTGGCATAACCGGCCCGATGCCTCGCCAACATCGTCTTCTCCCCGG